CAGTGAGCATAACACTCCTGGGGGTCATCCACATTGTTCCAGTATTATTATTTACAATACTGCATGAATTATACCCGTTTTTCTTTATGCACATTCTCAGAATATGCAGAGTTGTGAGCAGTTAAATAAGCCTTAGGGCCATGGTGGTGTTTCTTAACACTTTGAGGACCTCGTGCATCCAGTCACTTGAGGTGCCTGTTAGACTCTCAGACTTAGATCAGTAATGCGCATTAACAAATATGCTCATGTGACTTTCACACATGACTAAAATCATAGCCTGGCAGGATTTCCAGAACGTAAAAGAATCCCACAGTTAAGACAGCCATAAGCGTGAATCTAACTCTGCCTCTTACTAGCTGTGTAAAGTTGGGCAAATCACGTGGATTTTCTGTATCAATTTCTCCCCTTCCACGGAAAATAATCAATCTATTCACCATTTTTTTGAACACCTACTCCATGTCAGGCTACTAACTAGGATCACAGCAGGGAACAAGACAAAAGTCCATCCTCAAGGAGCACATATTCTGTCAGAGCAAGACAGATGAAAAGCATTTAAGTCCATAAACATATGAGATAATTTCAGTAGTTCATAAATACTCTAGAAAATTAAGCAAGATTTTGACAGAGAGGACACCTTGATTAAGGTACAGTCTAGGCTATTTGTAACAAGAAGACTCAAAAACCCATTGGGAAACGCTGTTAGCATAATGGCTATGTTGCTGGACTCTCATGTAGTCGATCGCAGTTCAAGTCCCGGAACCAGTGGCTTAAATTCATGTCGGGTGCATGAGCGTGTGTGCCCAAGATCCCGAGAGGAGAATGGAGGAGAAGGGATTGTGGCGTGGCCATCCCCCCTGGGGAAGGGGTGATTTCTCGCTTTCTGTCTCTCTGTTTCTCTCTCTCTGGTGAGCACCCTATGGCAAAAACCTCTAAAAAGTTTTTCACTTAAATAAGCTGCAAGTGAGTTTCCCCCACCCTTTCCTTTGAAACTGTCTGGGGGGCACATGTAAGGCACTCTGTCATCCTCATCTCTGCAATTGCTCCTCTCTGTTCTGCAGTTGCTTCAGGTCCATTTGGTCTGTATCCCAACTAGGAGGAAGGAAAAAATGTTTGTTTAAGGCCGTATCATTTCTGTTTACCTTCCATTGATTAGAATTTCTGTCCTAGGCATTACCTATCTGCAAGGGAAGCTGGGAAGTTTAAGTGTCGACCTCTGTCGTCCCACGCTGAGTTATAACTCCACAGGAAGAGAGAATGAATACAGGTGGACAACAGCAGTCCCTGCCAGAGAATGTGTCTGGATGGGGCAGAGGCTACTTAAGACAGGCTAGACAAAGAAAAGCTCTTTTAAAAGAGGACAGATGGGCACCAGCAGGTGGCATGGTGGTTAAAGTACTGGACACTCCCACATGGCCACCCACAGTTTGAGTCCTGGACCTGGTGGCTTCCTTTCTTATTTTCCTCTCTTTTTCTCTATGTCTCTTTCTGGTCAAATTAAAATGAATGAATAAGTAAATTAAAATAAAATAATTCTTAAAAAAAGAATAGGAGGCAGATGGGGAGGAAACAGATGGAGGTCCAGCAGGTAGCATAATAGTTAGGACACTGGACTCTCACATGGCTGACAGTGGTTTCTGTCCAGGACCTGGTGGCTTATTTTCTCATTTTCCTTTTCTCTCTTTGTATCTCTTTTGTCAAATTAAAAAATAATAATAATAAGTTAAATAAATAATTCTTTTAAAAAATAAAATGATGAGGCAGATACTAAAGCAAGGCAGAGCCGGCAGGTGGCATGGTGGTTAAGGTGCTGGACTCCCATATGGCCAACCAAGGTTCAAGTCCTAGACCTGGAGGCTTGCTTTCTCGCTTTCCCTCTATCTCTACCTCTGTCTCTCTCTCCCTCTTTCTCTCTCTGGTCAAATAAAAATTAATAATAATAAATTAAATAAATAATTTTTAAAAACAATACAGAAATTTAAAAAAAGATAGTAAAGCAGGGCTGAATTTCAGTCCCCACTTGTGACCCTCAATTGGGCATTCTCATAAAGGCCACAGCCTATCCACCTTCATGTATCAGATAGGCAATTTACAGGGCCATTTTTGTAAACTAACCTCTTACACTAGGTCCAGCAGACTAGACCAAACTAGAATGGAATTACTTTTGCTAACTGCCATGTAATTAAACTGAACTTTGAAATAGGCCAGTTTTTAGGGGATCAGCAGATGATGTGGTGGTTAGGACACTAGACTCCCACAAGACTTACTGAAGTTCAAATCCTGGACCTGGTAACTTGCTTTCTCATTCTCCTTTACTCTCTCTGCCTCTCTCTGTGTCTCTCTGATCAAATGACAGAATAACAATAAATAAATAAAGTTTAAAAAGAAAGAAATAGGCCAGTTTTTAAAAATAATTATTTATTTATTTAATTACATTTGTTATTATTATTTTTTAATTTGACCAGAGAGAGAGAAAGAGAAAGGAAAAGAGAAAGCAAGCCACCGGATCTGGGACTTGAACTGCAGTCAGTTGTGTGGGAATCCAGTATCTTTAATCACCATGCCACCTGCTAGCCCCTAGGCCAGTTTTTTAAAAAGAAGAAATTCACAGCAACCAATCAGAAGGGGTCTAGTTTACTTGATTGGCAGGACCAGGAATCCCCTTTGTTTGAACTCTGAAAGGAAAATAACTGTGAAATGATCAATCTGCTTTTTGTTTCCTGTTTCTGCCAGTTTTAAGTCTTTTTCTGCCTATAAATGCTCTGCTTATCTCATTTTGTCTTATAGGATGAGATTTTGGCTGATTCTAGAATTGCAAACAAAACCTAATTAGATCTTTAAACTAAATTTATTGTAATTTTGTCTTTTGGCAAAGTTAGACCTTGATTTTAAAAAACGTTTTAGAAAAACAAGACAAAATAAGCATCTACATATTCACTGTGCATAGTAGTCGATAGATCCAGTCAATGTAAGCTATACTTTCCATATCAAAAATATTCACTTCCCAACCTTGATTCTTTTTCATAAGGATAGGGAATATAATGCTATCACACTATTGGGCCACCTGTGTGGAATTCTGGGCTAGTAGTTCCTGTGTGATCCAATAGCCAACATTACTTACCTAGTTTATCCTCACGCATTTCCAGATCAGGAACCCCTCATCTCTCTGTGCCACTGCTCACTGTTTCCATTAAGATGTTAAATAAAAATGTAAGAGACCATTGTTTTGGCTTCCTGCTCTAGGCCCCTAGACCACACAAAAACAGGGTCTCTCATGGTAAAATGCAGCATTATCAAACTGAGCTGTTAAGGAAGCCAATAATCCCAAATAGACCCGGTTTTTCCTTAAAAACAGGAAATTCCTGTTTACCTAAGTCAGCATCACAGGGAAATAAAACTTACATACTTCTCCTGGCTTGCTTAGGAATGTGCACCTGAAATAGCTCAAGATGTCACCTAGACTCATCGTCCCTGTTCTTTTGTGAACATCTTTATTGTCTGAATACATTCTTTATGTACCTTCATAAGTCACATCTATTAGTTATAACTTTCAAAATGTGTCAGTTACAACAATGTTCCAAACCCATTCGCTACATTCTGCTTAAGGTTCATGACCATGAAGTCATCCTGTTCTTACCACAGAATTTAGCTGATTGCTGCTGTATAGATTTTTTTGCGACTCCTGACTCTCATTCCAGACTTCTGCCTTTAAAGTCATCCTGAAATCTCTAAGACCTCTGCACACATCATTTGTGACAACCTGGAGTTTGTGGTGCCCAGATAAGCATCCTAACCCTGTCACAAATAAAGTCATTTGCTTTATTTGCTTCAGCCTTCCTTTTCAGATTGACAAGAGACATGAAAAAGTCAGGTCTCTTTCTTGCATCTTATTCTTTTTTTAATAAAAAGTTGATTTTTTAGGGGCAGCAGGTGGTGTAGTGGTTTAGGTGCCGATGGACTGTGGTTCGAGTCCCAGACCCTATGGCTTGAAAATCTCACCAGGTGAGTTTGCTAACATGCCCAAAATCCCCAGGGGAGAATGGAGGAGAAGGGACTGCTGCATGGCCATCCTACCTTGGGGGTAATTTCTCACTTTCTGTCTCCCTCTGCCTCTCTGTGGCAAGCACATGTGCCCAATGGCAAAACAAAACAAAAACATCTTTAAAAAACAAAAAGCTTATTTCTTTTATGAGACAGAGCAAGAGAGAGAGAGAGAGAGAAGCATCCTAGACAGGGTCTTGTCAGACAGCAGTCCTCCTCCCCTAGCCCTCTAGCTGGTCAGGATCTTGAGTGCCAGCCCTAATCTGTTACAAGTAGACTTGGGTTCTGAAGGGCCTAGTCGTCCAGGTGGCTCCCAGCACCGCAAATGAACGTGTAGTGCCTGTAGCGCCATGGCCTCTCTCCTTCCCCAACCACAGAGAGCAAGCGTGCTCCTCAGGAGGGGAGGAGCACCTGCCACGGGCATGGCTACGACGCAATGCCTTTTCTCCTTCCCACGCCCACGTACCCCTCGTGTTTCTCAAGCCTCCAATGAGGAATGGAAGTCCTCCATGTGGGATCTAGCCTCCTTAACCACCGGGCCAAAGGCTGGCCTGCATCTTTTTATCTTTAAAGTTATTTTTGCAGAAACATGTCTCTTGTTTTGTCTCTCAATCAACAATGGGGACTGAAAAGAAAAACTAAGTTTTCGGGCAGCAGGTCCTATTGACACGGGAACGCGGGAGTGCAGGGGCGATCACCCTGTCTTCTACCTCACTAAGATCATTTCTGACACCTCTTCGGTGGCTGAGAACGACTGAACGCTCTGGATCCTTTCCCACAAAGCAACGCACAAGATCGGCTCTTTGCCTCATCTCACTGGCCCCATCAGCAGTCTCCGCACAACAGATGACTTCCTCCACTCTGCTCGCCCCTCAATTCGGCATCTCCCCGCGGAGGGTCGTTGAACTCCCGGACTTCCCGCTCAGACTAGAATTGCCAGGAGGGTGGAGCCGCCTAGAGGCCGCTAGCTGCGGCTAGGCTGAGTGAGGGCGCGGAACACAGTTACTCGCTCCTGTTGCTCACCGGAACTCAAAGAGAGAGGGACGAGCCGGGCCGGGAAACGGAAGAGGAGGCAGGGGGTGTGTTTGGGGAGGGACGGGGTATTCCAGTGAGTGCTTTATTCACTGTGTTTCTCCGCAATGTTACCGAGAGTCTCAGCGTTCCTACCTCTTCGCCCGCTTTCCCGCCACCCTTTGTCTTCTGGAAACCAGCAGGCAATGGCGGTTACCGTCGTGCTTCTGGCTGCGCGGCGCGGAACAGTCAGGTATCGTATTTCTGCGCTGTGGACCGCAAGGTCTTCAGGAAACCCCTTCCCCCCCTTACGTACATTCTGTTATTCTCCGTTTTCCTGGGGTCAGCGTTTATTACCTGCGGGATCTTAGAGGCCATTGCTTTAAATATGAGGAAAGAGAATTCCCAGAAAGGTAAGATGACTTGTCCAAGGTCATGGCGTGCGTGAGAAACAGCAACAATCACATGCCTGAATTATTGCGCCTCGTTCCTTTTGTCACTTCCTCCTCTCAGTTTATCCAGACTCTAGAAGCAAACTTATTGCTTTTGTTTTTGCCTCCCAGGACTTATTTGATGGCCTCATTCCTGCCTTCTTCATTCATTCTTTAGTTCATTATTGAAAGTACTTACAGCTTGTCAGTACTGGTTGTGAACTCGGAATAAGTCCTGTCATCACGGAACGTATAGTTCCACCCAGGAGCCGTCTCAAGTATAGTGAAGTAATAGCTGAGATAGTGTAAGTAGACACAGAATAGTCTGTTTATTCAAGAAGGAATTGCTGGGACAACATGTAGAAGAAATTTGGAGTATACTTTCTGGAATAGAAGTGTGATAAAGTCTGAAGGAGAGCCCTGGTTGGAGTTAGCCAAGAAAGAAAAGGAGTTACAGGACGCTTGATTTTGGAATTTCTTAAAGAACTTCATGATTATGGGAACCTAATTCCACTGTACATACAGGGTCTTCAAAATTTTATAGGAAATGCATATTGTGAAAAATTTGCATTGATTCAAAAGTTTTTGCACACAAATTTAAAAAAGCATACTTTAATTCCATTTTCCACAAACTTTTTGGAATCCCCTCACATTCATGCAAAACTGGGGACAGTTTGGTTAAATACAGTGCTGAAGCAGGTTACTAGCAGTGGAAGTGGAAATGATCAGCTGAATGGAGGAGAAAAACTGGATAGGTAGAATGACGTAATGAGATAATGGCAGAATAGACAGAAAGCAAAGATTTCTAATGGTTGTATTGGAGGATGAGGGTGCCCTTACTATTAGTAGAAGAATGAAGAGCAGGTTTGAGAAAGATTTTTAAATGTGTCGTATTATAGAATACAAAAATATATTTGTGGTAGAACCCTGTTTAATAAAAAAGGGTGAAAAATGGAAAGTCAGTCTGAAAGGAGACTTCATGAATGCAGTTTTGGATATGTTACATTTGAAATGCTGATATGTTTTCCTTGGAAACAAACTCAGCTGGGAGGTTAGGGCTAGAGTTTTACTATTTTAGTGTTACAGAATTACTTCCTATATATAATTTTCTTATAATAAATATAGATTACTTTCTGTAGCGTTTTAGTAGGCTTGGCAGGAAACATTGTAGTAAATGTTATATTTGAGATTCATTGTCCTTATTACCATCTTTCTATTAAAATTCCTGTAATGTTAATTTTCAGATGCAAAAGAGAACATTTTTCCTAAATTATACTGTATATTAAATGATACTATAATGAAGGTCCTGTGTATTTGTTATTGAACATCCTTCAAATTTATTTTTTCTTTTTGCTCATTGTTATAAGTCAATTTCTTAGTTTCCTAGTTTACAATTAAAAGGACTAAATACTTCTAGTCTAGTTTAATATACAGCTTTATTGATTACTAACCTTTTGATTATGAGCACTGACAAAAGACTGCCCTCCTGAAGATAAAGCAAGACTGACCAGATGTTGAGCCTGCTTTAAGATGCAGAAGAAACAGAATAATTTATCACACCTGACATCTTAAGGGGACCACCTGCCCACTTCCAGATCCTTCATAGGTATTACCCTGTAAAAACTCTGGACTTCAGTTAGTTGAGGAGAGTGAATCTGAGAGATTACCTCCCACCTCCTAGTTGGTGTCATCTGAATAGACCTTTCCTTGATTGCAGTATTCATTTTTGGATTTGGCTCTTTGTGTGATGAACATCTGAATCAAGACCAAGCTTTGGCATTCAATAACATACTGATTATGAGGATACTGTTGATATTTGTGCAGTTGGAGGTTTTTTTGTTTTGCTTTGTTTTTGCTGCAGGGCATATGCGCTCACAGAAGAGATACAGAGACACAGAGAGAGAGAGGGAGAATGTGAAAAATCATCACGTGGTAGAATAGGGAGTATGGTAGCCACACTGCAGTCCTCTCTCCTCCATTCTCCTCTTGGGATTTTGCCCACCCATGCACATGCACCCTGCATGTTTTTCATGGTACCAGGTCTGGTACTTGAACTGCCTCATCAGCCATGTGAGATCTGGCTTCCTTAACCACCACACTACTGGCTGGCCCCACCTAGGAATTTTAAAGTAACCTTTTATTTTGCCATAGGGCACGTATACTTGCCAGAGAGAGAGACAGTGAGAAGGAAAGTGAGAAATCACCTCCCAGAGGCAGTGGCCATACTACATTCCTTCTCCTCCATTCCCCTCCTGGGATTTTGGGTGGGCATGCACACACTCATGCTTGGCCAGATTTTCACGCTGCCTGGTCCAGGACCCAAACCACAGTTGGCCATGTGGGAATCCAGTGCATCAACCACCATGCCACCTGCTGGCCCCAGTTGTGATTTATTAACTTTATGTTTCCCATTCTTTATAATGTCTTGAGACTTATAGCAAATAACATTTGTACAGGCCCTGGGCTAAGAGAAGGGAGGCAGAAGACTTGAGGACACCAGCAGCTCCAGGCTTCAGCTGGCTGCCCCAAAGACCAGGTGTTCAGTATCTCAGCATTCCTACCCACTTGTGGCATACCAGTGTGGCTTAGGCCATAATGAGTGCTAAGCCACATGACCTTGGATAGGTTACTCTTCTGATTTTCAATTGTCTTATCTATGAAATAGGAATAACCCTTGTTTTATGGCTTGATGTGGGTATGAGAAAATGTACATAAACTGTGTTGCACAAAATTAGGCATATGCTAATATATGGTAAGTTATTGTTGTTATGGTTGTTAATTAGAAAGCAAAAATGGGGCCGGCAAGTGGCGTTGTGGTTAAGGGGACTGGATTCCCACATGGCTGAATGTGGTTTAAATCCCAGACCAGGTGGCTTGCTTTCTCACTTTCTTTCTCTCACTCTATTCCTCTTTGGTCAAGTTAAAATATAGATAAATAAACTCTTAAAAATTTTTAAATAAAAAGCAAATAGAAAAGGCTTGAATTGAAAATATTTATAAATGTGTAGAAGGAGCCACAAGTGCTGTTGGTTATGGCACTGGATTCCCACATGGCTGACCGTGATTTGAATCCCAGCCCAGTGGCATGTGCCCAGATCCCAAGAGGAGAATGTCGAAGAAAGGATTGCAAGTGGCCATCCCTGCTAGGGGGTGGTTTCTTACTTTCCTTTCTCTTCGCCCCAACCGTATGTGTCCTATAACAGAACTTAAAAAATAGATATATGTAGAAGGTTTTTTAGTTATTCCTCTATTATTTTATATTGTATTTTTTGTTTAATATCTTTCCAGGACAAAAAATAACATCCAAAGGTATTTTGGCACCAACTGTGTTACCTATAGCAAGAAAGATGAGCAGTCTGTTCCAACCAATGAGATTTCCAAAAAGACTTCAGAGAGCCAAGACAATGTCAAAGAAAATACAAAAAAAGACTTGTTAGATATTATTAAGAGCATGAAAGTTGAATTAAGTACAGTAAATGTTCAAACAACAAAGCCACCTAACAGAAGACCACTTGCAAATTTGGAGGCTACAATT